ACAGCAAAGGATGTCAATCTTGTTTTTTTTGAGAAATGAACCAATAACATTAAAGTAAAAACACAAAGCTTACGGCAGAAAGAACAGTCAAGTCTCGGACCTTTCATGATTGGTTAGTTTCGATCCTAAATTCAATCATGCTCGTGTATGTTTTGATCACTTCTGTTTGTTACGAGGAGTAGTTTTCTGTTTAAGTTATCGAAGTTCCTTTGAAAATTATAAGCGGATCACATAAGTTTATACAGCAGAGATTACATGGTACAATATCAAGATTTTTTTTTTATCAATTTTTTTTTTTTTTTTTTGATTGAAGGGAACCGGTTCAACTTGTTTCACTCCTTGCAAAAAACTAGGGAAAAAATATATAACCAGATTGTAAATCAGTGTCCCGCATTCAAAGATAAAAGGCTAGGGTAGTGGCAGTAGTAATTGAAACAATTTTTTGGAGATTTCTACTTTTGTTGTAAATATTGTCAATTTTTTACGCATTTATAGCGTGTTACTTATATGATATAATGAAATGACAATTAGCTTTACTGCTAAATCAGATGATGGATGCATCAGACTTTATCAGAGCTAAAGTTTAACCTGCCAGTACTTGTAAATAGAACCAGTCCCACATTTATCATTGTAGAATAAACATTGTAAAGTGAGTTGAACTTTGTGTTGTGATATATTTAGCCCTGATATTTAGAAACAGCTTGGAAGCTATGGGAGACGGGTATGGCCTTTTCAAAATCAATCAAATTTATCAATTTACCAGAGAAACTGTCTCAAGGTGAGGGTATGAAGCCCCTCTCAAAAAAAACCATTTCCCTATTTTAAATCAAAAATCCCTTCAGTAGGTTCCTGGCCACTTTAAGAAAACTTATTTACATTTTTTAAAGCAAGGTTTATGAGACCAATCGACCTCAGCACACACAAATTAAATAACAGAAAAATCAGAGAAAAGAGACGAGTCCCCAAGACAAAAAAATTGGGAAGTGGGGGCAGCGGGGCCTCACAAAGATTTCCACTTATTGGGGCTTTGGAAAAACATAATCCTCGAGATTTCTTCCAATTTTTTTTAATGCGTTTATTCCCAGTTTTCATGAGTTTTACAGGACTTTAGAATTTAAATGTAACTTTCCAAATTTTTGAAAGAATACTAAACTCTCTATACAATTTGACTGAAGAAGGAAGTGATTGCAATATCTGTGTTCAAACATCTTTATCCTAATAATCTTTCAATCTGATCCAAAAGTATTTTGGAGCATAGAATCAGGTGTGTTCTTTGAAGCTGGACATCATAGATTAATTTAGCTTCATTTTCTTCCCAGAATATTAACCCTTTCACTCCCACAAATCAACGATGGGTAATTTCTCCTTGCAATACAATATTCTGAAAATCAGAAAGGTGACAAGAAGGAAGTAGATCAGCTATGGTACATTTGTTTTTGACTAGTTGTTAGAGGCTTCTATTTCAAGAAAAGCATTATAGTGTAAGTCAGTATACAAAAGGCAAAACACGTCAAATCCATTGTTTACAAAAAAAGGCCAAAACGAATCTCAAAGCTGTGGCAGTTAGAGTGGTTAAATTTAAATTGAATTTTACTATTGTGTAAATTTTGATCTCATTTCAGTATTATCCCTCCCTGTATGATTTTTATTCCTAGGACTGCTTTATATGTTCATTGGCCCAAAAGGATAAAACACAAACTCTATTCATCCCTTTACTGCTGTACATATCATTTTACAAAACAGTCGACATATTTAAAGACAGAATTATCAAAGAGAAGAGGCATGGGGATTTTTTTAATTTGGTTTTTAGCATCAATAAGATGTTTCTTCAGAACAGATTGCCTATATTTTAGTGGCTATCAATGCATCAATAGGGATAAAAATGTGTTAAGAGGTATGAAGACATTTCTTTACCAACCTATTTCACAAGAATGCCTGCATCTTCTAATTACTTCATATACGACAAGCATTCTCCATTTAACTCATTAAAACTTCATTTACAAGAAAATTGATTTTCTTAATTCTTAACATTATCAACCATTAGCAAATATATTTAATTTGTTTCTTGAATCTGATATTTATAAAATCCAATGAGTGTTGCAAACCAGTGTTGCAAACCACTGTAGGATCATCCAAAGAAAAAATAAACAATAGACTCAAGTTTTTGTGATATGAACTTCAGTGTATCCACTCCAGTAAGCAGTTACCTAAAAGCAAAAAAATTAGCAGACATAAATGATTCACTGGAATATAAATTACACACTGCTCTACACTACAAGTTTATAGAGATAGATTGTTCTCCCTCTGAACAGAAATGTTAGCACTTTATGTATGGTTTTAAATATGCTAACAGAGTTAAATATTGCAGTTGTTTTGAACAAATATGAAAAGGAACAACTTGGTAAAATTTCATGTCAGTATCAATTTTTAAACAACAATAATCCCTCTTTAAACATGAGGACATTTTTATTTACTATTTAAAATGTAAAGCTTGATGAATACAGAATGTGTTTAAATCAAAGTATTTTAACTCCTGCCACCAACATTACAAACCTGAATACAACTAGATGAATAAGAAAGACATAATTTGATAAAGAAAATCATGATTATTAACTCACAAATATAATTAATTAATACTGAGAAAGGTGCTGTGGAATAAATTTATGACAAAAGGATTCATTACCAAGACATGTTCAAATACAAAGGGCCCTGACATCAAGATTGAAAACAAGCAATATTTTGCCACAATTAGACAAGCTTGATTATACAAAATAAACAAACACCTTACATCAAGATTGAAAACAAGTAATATTTTGCCACAATTAGACAAGCTTGATTATATAAAATAAACACACACCTTACATCAAGATTGAAAACAAGTAATATTTTGCCACAGTTATACAAGCTTGATTATACAAAATAAACACTTCGTTGTACAAGATAAGCACACACCTTAGTGCTTGCTTGGCATTTTTTTCTGCTATGTTCATGTTTGATCAGCAGCAGCTTCCTACCTATCTTTGACAGCAGTCATTTTCTAATGATTGGCATCTAGCAGCTGGTTCTATGTTGTTATGGGAACAGACTCTGTCTGACAAAGGATAAGAGAAAAGTTATTGTAAACTTTATGTCAAGGTAAATCAAACATAGTCTAACCCTTAGAGATTTTGATCCATATCTGACTACTGACCATGCAGACATTGGCTCTTTTCAGTGCATTCTTACATTTTTTAATATTATATTCAAGGTAACATGCTCTTTTGGGTAATTAGCAATGATATTGGGTAACAGAAGGTTGCAAATGTTAAAAAATGACAGAGAAAACTTTTCAAGATTCCAAATCAATAATTGAAATGGCTTATTCCTTTATTTTAAGTACAATTTGGAATAACGAAGCACAAGTGAGTGTTCCAAAGACCGAAAAAAAATTTCATGAGCATAAAAGACATGTAATTACTAGTGCTCTTGTGATAGCTTAGTTTTATAACTGCATTTCCTCAAATAAGTGCTTAGCGTTTATTTAAAAGTTTCAGCTGAAAGGTGATGCGTTTAATGGAGAAGGGCGCTTAACTGAAGGGGGAGCTTATTATTCTGCTGTACTGATTCAGCTGTAGTTGAAACTTAGATAGACATAAATAAGTGGCAATAGAAACAGGTTTTCATTGCATCCCTAAAAAAGTGAAAAGAGGAGGAGGGGGGCTTATTTTAGGGGGTAGGGGTGGTGGTTGTTTGGCATTATGGTCTAGGGGGTGGGCATTTATTCAGAGGAGGACACTTTGTAGTACATGGGCACTCATTCAAGGAAAATTTGCTGAGTGAAAAAATACCATGAAAAAATATCACGAAAAAAATTAATACCAGGGAAAATTATGTGATAGCAGTTAATAATTATGTATAAACAATGTGAATTGCTATCACTAGCTAGACAGTGTAAAGCACTAAAGTTAAGAAATATTTAACCATACCTTTAATACATTCACTTCTGCTTTCAATTTTGTAACTGTACCCTCAGCTCTGAGAGCTCTTTGTCATAAAATAAAAAAAAATAACGACATTCAGTGAATTTTTAACTCAAACATGTTCATTAGGACTCCCTTGTTTAATATTGTTAAATGATAAGTGTAATATTCCTTATCAATAATTAACAGAAACTTTTTTATGGTGCCTTTTTAACATTTATTAATTGGCAATTGTATTCTTTTATCTTGAAGGTTGATATTAGGCTTTATCTACTTTATATAATTATCAATATGACTTTTAGCTATCTTCAGAATAGTAGGTGTCTAAGTTACCAGATTTGCATCAAATGCCTTGGAAGCCTAGATGCTGTAATAGACTTGTTTCAAATCAATATCACTGCTATCAAAATATTCATAGCCTACACTCCTTTAAAAAACTATTCATTCTGACACAATCTGAATCACCAAAGCACCCGAACCACCACTGGATCTGCTCCAGACCATTTGCAGACTATTTTCTAAACGTACTACAGAAAGATAAGTGTCCTGCTTGGGGACAGAAATGCTCCGGATGTGGTAGCTGGAACCACTTCAGGAGTGTCTGCAAGAAATCCAAATCACGCAAAGTTCACAGGATCTCTGAAATGGCAGAGGAACCCTCATCAGAAGAAAGCCACATCGCATTTCTCACTGGAGTTGCTCTAGATTCTCAGGAAACTGATGTCCATGCTGTCCAGTTCGCCAAAGAAATTTATGCCGAGATGTTAATTGATAAGAAAAAGGTCAACTTTTAGATTGGCTGTGGATCATAAATCAACATCATCCTGGCGAAACACGCAGATCACACGTCAAACCCATCGGGACGGCACGAATCACCATGGGATCACCATGTGCAATCCCAAAACATGAAAGAAGTACTCTGTGGAGTTTGTTGTCATCAAGAATGATCTAACACCCTTTATCGGAGTAAGAGCCACACAACGAATGGAACTTATAACTGTTAATGATGAAAACTTCATTATGACCACGCCCCCCGCCTTGAAGAAATGAATTGGCAGATAACTGCTGAAGAGCTGATAAAGTGATATTCAGATGTATTTCACTGACCATTAGGAACATTACCTGGAGAAGTCCACTTAGAAGTTGACAACAGCATTAAACCTGTCACCACTTCAACCCAAAGAGTTCCTAAACCACTCAAAGATGACCTGAGAGAAGAGCTAAATCGATCAGTTGAGAAACAAATCCTAGCACCGGTAGAAGAGCCAACACCATGGGTGAACAGCTTAGCAGTCACTACTAAGAAGTGGGGGGCCCTGAGAGTATGCATTGATCCACGACCACTGAACGAGGCGTGGAAAAGAGAAACCTATCAGATACCAATACTGAAATTCTCCCAGGATTATCTCATGGAAAAGTATTCTCCACAGTTGACCTGCATTCAGGTTATAGGCACTGCGTTCTAGACCAAGAGTCCAGCCTGCTCACTATGTTCTCAACACCGTTTGGAAGATATCATTGGCACTGACTGCCCTTCCGTTTGTCAGTCTCCTCAGAAATTTTCCAGAAAAGAGTTAACCAAGCGCTAGAAGGCTTGAGTGGAGTGCTCGATATTGCAGACGACATCTAAGTGTACGGCATTGGGAACAATGAACAAGAAACCACTGCCAACCACAACAGAAATCTTGAAACCCTACTACAAAGATGCAGTGAGCGTAGCATTGCACTCAACAGGGACAAATTGAAGTTGAAACGAAAAGAAGTTCCCTTCATGGGACAAGTACTCACTCCACATGGTGTTAAAATAGATCCAGGAAAAGCAAAAGCTGTAACCAACTGCTCTTCAGGAGTCACACTATAGCTTTATTTATAGATGTCACGAAGGGGCATGTCTAGAGAGGACATTAGGACCTCAATACACTAACTGAAGAATCATGTAATCATTGTATGACAATCAAGAGTCACATGACTTCTGAAATAAACGAGCTATTGATAACATAATTATTGTAACAGCCTACACTCCTTTATCATAACTATTCATTCTTACACAATGTGAATCATCAAAAGAAGAAGGAAGAAAATCAAGATAAAACCAACAGTATTTTCTGAACTACAACTATTGATAACTATTAATAAGTCTCACATTTCTTCCACCGTAGTCAATTCAAAATTTCCTCCACCCTCAGGGGTGAATCTAAGGTTAAGTCAAGGGGTGTCCGATAATAATAGTTTATTTTAATCTTTGTATTACGCAACGTTAATTCTCTCGGACAATGTCACATATTGCGCGTGACATTTGCATGTAGCACATATGGGCTAAAAGTAGATCACGTACTTGATTATAACAAACAAAGAAAGCTTGTAACTAGTTAAGACTAAGTTTAGCGGTTACAACCGCAACATTCTTGTATTTCCTTGTGTATATAAGACATTGTTGTAAGAGGTTAAGGCAGAACGAATTAGAACGAATTAGAACGAATTAGAACGTATCAGAACGGAACGGAATTGTAAAGAACTGTGAATCTACGAATAAACGCATTTTATAGCTTGGAAATATACAGTCCTCATTTGATTGTGAACCAGCATCGGGAGTAATCTCGGACATTTGGTCCTTCGAGCCGGATACTGTGAGTTGATTGAAACGATCGCCTTTGAAAGACAAAAAAGGATTGGACATGGCAGAAGCCGCGGTGAAGACCAAACGAAAGACACGAGGTGGACACAAGGCTTATGTGAGTCAAGTCTTACCAGAAGCTAAGGGCTACCTCGAGGCCCAGCCTACTGCAGAATCAAGACTANAGCTTGATTATACAAAATAAGCACACACCTTACACCAAGATTGAAAACAAGTGATCGTTTGTCACAACTAGACAAGCTTAATTATACAAAGAAGCACATATCTTACTGCTTGCTAGGCATTTTTCGCTGCTATTTTCATTTGATGAGCAGCAGCTTTTGATTTATCTTTGACAGCTGTAATTGTATAATGATTGGCATCTAACAGCTGGTTATATGTTGCTACAGGAATTGACTCTGTCTGACAAAGAAAAGCAGAATAGTTATTATAAACGATATGTAAAGGTGAATTAAACATAGTCTAACCCTTGTAGATTTTGCGATGTATCTGGGCTGACCATGCAGACATTGGCTCTTTTAAGTGCATTCTTACATTTTATAATTTTGTATTCAAGGTGATGTGTAGTTTTGGGTAATTACCACAGATATTGGCTAACAGAAGGTTGCAAATGTTAAAATTGATAAAGAAAAGTTTTCAAGATTCCAAATCAATAATTTATACTTCTTATCCCTTAATTTTAAGCCCAATTTGGAATACCCAAGCACAAGTGAGCGTTTCAAAGAGGAGGGGGATTATTTTAAAGGGAGGGTGCTTGATTGAAATTATGGCATGGGGGGGTATGGACAAAACCTGGCCTAGGCCATGGCCTACTATGTGGCCTACTGTATGGCCTACCAGTGGTCAGATGTTTAAGAACATAAAAATAAAATCAGTAAGAGTCAAACGAATATGCTGGTGTACAATTATCTGTCTCTGAAAAGGGTATACTAAGAGGTCGCTAACACGATTTTCAACATTCAAGGGAACAAAACACTGCAAATATTACAGCACTCAACCATAACAGTAGGTTATGGGGGAGCGGAGAGGAGGGGCCAATATTGCGTGGTCGCAGAGGATAGACAAAATGGCAGCTTTATGATGCAGGCTGTCAGTTGGTAACGTATAGTGGAGTGCTGGTCTAAAAATGTAATTAACAGTGTTATATTGGAGAGCATACATATCCAGGTACGAAAACGCAGACATTACGCTGTAGGCCAATTTTTTAAGTGCCCTCAAGTGCTGTAGAGTATTGAATTTGCAACGAGCACCCCAGGACATGCATGCATCGCTGTCGTAAACATTTTGCAAACTTAATGCTTGCTTTTCCAAAGAAAGGGCCAGTATTCCACTAATTTGAAAGGAAAGCTGATATGATGATGTTTGCCCAAAAGTTGCGTTTAACCGGCTTCTGTTTCTCGATTTCCTTATTCTATCAGAAGGTTAAAAAATTTTGATCAGAATGTGGCTGTCAAAACAGCAGAAAAAAGTCGTTGGCAAGACAGTACTCAGCAAAACGTTGAAAGGTTTCCAGCAATGCTATCCTTTTAAAAATCTGACCACCGGTAGGCTATAGGGTAGGCCATGGCCTAGGTCAGGTTTTGTCCACACCCCGTAAGGGGTGGGCATTTATTCAGAGGAGGGAGCTTATTAGTGCATGGGCATCATTGAAGGAAATGCCACATGAAAAAATACCATGAAAAACAGGGGTTTCAATAGTAGCCAGGTAGCTGGTAGATCTACCCGCTTGTAGCGGGCCAATTACCCGCTTGGAGCCTGTAATTCTTGTGACCGAGGCAGGTTCTGATGTTGTTATTTGAACAAGGAGACAGACTTATAGCCACAATAAAATTTATTTATACAGGAAAGTACAAAAGAAATAATACAATAGCAAGGCACTAGCAAGACAATTTGAAAGCATTGCATGACAAAACAGTAGTCATTGTGTGACACTGGGCTATACTTAGAATTATACATGAAATGACTGAAAACAAGTCAATACTGTTAAAACAATAGCTCAAAACGACATAACATTAGATAAGACCAATTTCAATCACAATTTCATATTGTCCTTCGACTTAAAACTAGGAAAACTGGCAAAATCTCATTGAGTGACAGGACAACATCTGTCATTACTGATGAACTAAACAATGAAGACTGTAGTGAAATATCTGATTTCACCAATGAACTTTAAGTCAAGTATACAGATAAATGCAATGTTCTGAAAGCTGAATGCAATCTTGACACATTTTGAACATGAATCAACTAATATAAGGATTCAAGCAAAGACTAAACAATTGGATTGAGATAAGTACACATGAACCATATTATTCTTGAACTCAAACTGTAAGACATACAATAATAGGTCAAATGTGACATACCAAATCCTCAGTAAAATAGGTCACTAACTTGAGGTTACATGTACTGGAGTTACTTTTTT